TGCCGTATTGATTGATTAGTTGACTAAAAAGGCCATTGCTTTAACTATGATGACAAACCTGGCCCAACTGATCAATTCTCTGATCCGTTGGCAAATCGACAACTTTGTAATGTCCTCCGAGACGACTGCTGTTGTGATTTTAGGGCTATACAAATTACATTGAATTGAATTTACTCATATTGGATTAGAGCTAAATCCCTATCCTTGCATATATACAAGATGCAAATATTTTCCACCATTTCAAAGAAAATGTACGTATGTGATGAATATTATTGTGAGGGGCGACAGTGAGCTTCTCCAACTGCTCCCACTCATGTCTGCTGTTGTCGTGTCCTTGGGCAAGACACTTAACCCCACGTTGCCCTAAGCCCCTGCTGAAAGACCAAGGCTGTGTCACCGCTGAAGGAGCAGCAGCCATCTTCCTGTGGACCCACCAACTGCAGGAGGATCAGAGAGGGACTGGTGTTATGAGCTTTGGGTGGCAGCTCTCATTGCCGCCCCCCTGACCCAGAAAGGGACTAATAGGTATGAATGTAAGAAATGAGTGAATGGAGGGTGTTTGGTCGGAGGCTTTGATGCGCCAGTGTGTTCGGCGACTCGCTTCCGTCATCACCGTGTGTGGAGAGAATGGACAACTATCTGAACTCTGAACATTGTAAAGCGCTTTGGATGATCTTGGTCTGTGAAATGCGCTATACAAATAATCATTGTTTGCTTACTTACTTATAAAGGGGTAGAACATGAATGAATTATGAATATTGAGACTCAAATTATGTTTTATCTACCAGTTAACAATCAATAAGTCAATATTGTAATTATTGCGGCAAGCCTAGATATGTGTTTATAGTTTACCACGTGGCGCCTTAGAGTCTACATTATGTGAGATTTGTCATGACTAATCTCATCATAACATTTTTGACTTACTCTTGCTGTCTGCCCATCACTCCCTGCCCTAAGGAAAGATACATTTGCCTTTTTTATTTATTTTTTTATTCTATTGTTTATTTGGTTGAGACAGTGCTGATGAACACATCACTCCAAATTTTAGCCTTGGGCTAATTTCCATCCGTTCACAAACTCTCACTCATTCACCCTGAACTATTGTACATGTTTTTAGTGGTAGGGGAAACCGGAGTACCCAGAGGAAACCTACATAAACACAGGGAGAACATGCAAATTCCACTCAGAAAGGCCCTGTTCCGACTCGATTCGAACCCAGAACTTTCTTGCTGAGAATTGTGAGTGCTATCCACTCAGCCACCGTGCCTTATTATTGTTATAGCAAAATATAACAAACATTTTCACCTAACATGATTGTCACGTAATGCAAAGTCAAACGTGCGAGAAGCCACACGTAGTTTTAGACTATACCAGGGTTTTTTCTTTAATCTTGTCATCACACATGGATCTACATAATAATATATATAAAACCGCCAGAATGAAAGAGGCTTCCAGCTGAGGCCATTGTTCTCACCACCAGATGGCGCTCACATCCTTGGCAGCCCGTACACATCTAAAATGAATATCCACTCGCTTATATTGTTGCGTGGTCATCTTTGCAATGCCTGCCATGTGTTTTATCTTTCCCCGACAGCCTGAGGGACGGCGCTTGACCACCTGCTCTAACATTCAGCCTCTGGAACAAACAAACGCTACACTCTATGGGAGCGCCATTACAGCTAATTTCACTTTGTCCGTCAATGTGATATTTTAGAGGGCACAGGCTGGCATTGGAAACATCACAATCTGTCGGGCCCTTCTTTCTGTTCACCTCTCTCCAACTTGTAGAGCTGTTGTGCAGTGTTGTGTTGTGTTGTTTTGCTATCAGGGAAGTGATGGGCGCGGAGATAGAGCCGGAGATAAAATCATGAGGGAACAAATCTGAAGCTGGGAGAGCGGCCAGGACCGTCCAGTCGTTTTAGTGTCTTTAGGTGCACTCCAATCACTGCATTCCTTTTTTATTCCTTGTGGGTCCAAAACATTTACAAGCTCGCTATAACAGACGTCATTGCGAGGCGTATACTGTATGTACCTTTGGAGCGTCGGCCGTGTCTTCTTGCACGTGTGGCATGGACTATACCACCGAAAGTATGTATCTACCTGGACGTAAACAGGTGACAGCTTGATAATTATTGCGGAAAGATACATTACTATTATTTATTAATTAAGTAGTATCAATCCAATCCACTTTTCTATACAGCACATTTTTATAAAACAATTTTCTGAAGTGCTGCACAGAGACCAAATCAACACATGTAAATATACAGGTTTGCCATCTTTATATGTTTAAAAAAATAGGAGTAAAACATTATGCACATCAAAAACAATAAAAATGTAACAAAACCAATTAAATACCAGCAATCTGAAAAATAAAACAGATGCAAATGTAACAAGTAATGTAATATTCCTATTTTATTTTTAAAAGTTCAGATATTTTTCCATTCTCTCCACACAAGTGACGACAGAAACGAGACGGCGAACACACTGGTGCGTCAAAGCCAATCAACACCCTCCATTCACTTTCATTCAGACCTATTGTACATGTTTTTAGTGGTAGGGGAAACCGGAGCACCTGGAGGAAACCTACATAGACACTGGGAGACCTTCTTATTGTGTAAAACAAGCTCTAACCACTGCCCATATTACTTTCTTATGAATGAATGAAACCTGGTTTAGTCTGTAGTTTAGACCTTCTCTCTAATGCCATCGCTCTTGGGTGTCTTTAAAATGTTAACATCTTAAACAGAACTCAAACATAAAAACTAAGTTGCAAATCAGTATTATTTTGAATAAACTCAATTACAATAGATAAAAGTACTCACTGATGTCTTTTTGATCCAGGGTCTTGAGGTTCCTTGGGCCAATAACCCCTGCTAAAACACAATAAATACGTATTCTTCCTGGATGTATATTTTTGACTTGATGATTGCTGCGATAAATGATATTTCAGATCATGGAAGGTTTTGAGTTTGTGTTGTTTGTGTGATCAGCAGCAGCCACGGCACGACGATGGAGGACCGTGGCTGTCTGTGGCTGTCTGTGGCTGTCTGTGGCTGAGCTGTGCTGAGCTGTGCTGAGCTGTGCTGTGGTGGATGTTATCAAGCCCTTAGCACCAGATCGTGTTCACTCACTATAATTTGCTTTCCGTCGTTTGCTACTCCTCTTCTGTATCAGTGTCGTTTTTAAACAGATTGTTTTCTGCAGGGGTGGCACAGGAGGGGAGAAAGACGCACATAGAAAAGAATGAGATTCTTCGTCCTTGACTGACCCAGTTCCATTTCTTTTGCTGCAAATGAAAAAAAAAAAATCTCAGCTTTGTAGTTTTTTTCCCTCATCCACAGTTTCTATCAGAGGGTTTTACGCATTGCCTTTGTGAGCGTAATACATTTTGTTAGATTTTTCTTTTAACCTTCTGGGAACCATCCAAACGCGAGCCATTGTTTTGTTTCACAAGACATTAACCTTCCATATTTTACACAGTTGGAAGGAAGCAGTGTGAAGTATTTTTAATTCTGTTATAATTATCTGCAAGCAGCTCACTCAGAGGCATAATACACTTTTTTATTTGCACTTGTACTACAGTGTCTAAAGTCTAGCCCAGGGGCTAATGATGGCCTGAGCTGAACTGTGTGGCCCCTGGCACATCATAAAATGTATTATTCATGGGATTTTTGCATTTTGAAACTCAGTGAACTTATGCAAAGTAACCTGCATTCCTGCAGTGGTTCAAAACATCAGATGATTATGAGGTGTACTTTCCAGGGTTTTGGTTTTTCAGAATTACATATTTAATCAAGAAGAAAGGTTGTGACAACCATCGCAAAGCACACCATAATTTCCCTACAAAAAATAATTTGCTCAATGTTGGCCAATTATTACCAGGCTGCTTCCCAGCACGTGTTCAGCCCATAGCACATGGATTTTACAGAAGTTACTCTACCGCACCTCAACCATTTAAATTAACTTTGTACAAGTCCAAGAGCATCTCTGCCCTACGACGGTGTGGCTGACTCCCAACCTCTGCATAAAGCTGCTTTGGAACCTCGGGCAGGACGCAGCGGTGCGTGAACCACCGTTTGTTTACACTTTGTCATTGAAAGACACTACAAAGAGCTAACACCCTGGAAGTTAAATATAGCTGTGAGTTAAGTGGGGCCTGCAGACCTGCCTCTGCCTGTGGCTGCAGCTCCCTGCCTGTGGAGCAGCACCATGAAGAACTGGGGAAAGGCCAAACTTCCAACCTGTTGCAAAATGTGACTCTTTGGCAACGCTGCAAACTGCGTAACACACAGTTTTCATACGTCACTCATGCAAATTGTATTAACGCTTTAATCACATTAAAGCAAACACACAACTCCCCCTTAATATTTCATTTTTTATACATTATTCCTTGATTGGAATTGATTAGATTGATGTAACGTGCATCAATCCAATTGCATACTTATTTCCACTTCAGAGCTTTTTTATTTTGTTTCCTAAAATATATAACGGTCACTCAACTTTGTGACGTTTTCTCCAAAGAATCTGTTAAAAAACGCTGTTAACAAATCGCTCGTCAGGTGATATTCCCAAAGCAACCATTCCTCTCGCCTTTCACTGATAACGTAGGGGTTATCATACATGGGGCTGTCTGGAGCAAATGGAACAAAGATGAGACTTCGATTACACACACACACAAACACACACCCACATGCACACACACGCAGACATACACGCACGCAGTCCGTGGAGGATAGTTGATCTGTTCGGTTTCTCTTGACAGCCGGAGCATGGCCATCACCACCCGGGAGTGCCCATGTCCTCAGCTGTGAGTCTCAATATTGTGTGTGCGCGCATTTGTGTGTGTGTGTGTGTGTGTGTGTGTGTGTGTGTGTGTGTGTGTGTGTGCGCGTGTGTGTGCGCATGTGGGCCCCAGTGCCGCAAAAGGACTTTAAGAAAGAGACAGGGATGAAAGGCTAGAGAGGGGTTATAGTAATTCAGATATTGATGTTTTTGAGGCTCTAACTCCACCCGGAGGGGCTGTCTTGGTGGAAAATGTCAAACAGGCCTGCGGCGGGTTTATACCACTTAGCAATGCTGCAGCTTCGGCCGTGACACCTGCAAAACGCAAACAGGGATTACAAAAAAGGCAAAGTTTACAAAAGGCAAATAAAGTGCGCCTGGATTTTTTGTGTTAATTTCTTGGAGAGCCGTTGGTAACACCTCTTCTCTTACTGCTACAAATTCACTTTGGGGAATTTTTCTTTCTATTCACGCAAAATTGTGAAGGTCGTCCACTTATTTTAAACCCAACCACAAGCCAAGTATCCACAGAACATTTGAACGCTACCTCAACCATTCCAGACAATTAAGTTCACGATACATGCCTTTCTGGACTTCCACTGTCGACCACAAAATATATATATATTTTTAGGATAGTTCACAAGAACAAACCCAGAAGCAACAGCCTCTTTAAAATATGTATTAAGAGTTTGCATTATGTATATTTGTATTCAATAAATTCTCTGCGCTCATGAAATATTGAGCAGAGAATGGATTGACTTATTCCACCAGAGTAATGCAGCATGTAGGCACTGTAATGCTCCTGTTTTTCTGCTAAATTAAAAATTTGTGCTTTGAAAATGTGCTCTCCCTCAAGTCATTGATGAACTTTCTTGTAACAAAATCACACAAATAACAATGTTTCTTTGTGGAGCGTTCACTTATTCCAAATGGCCTGTTCCTCGTAGGAGTGCCGCTGCCCACACACACACTCGCTCTGTGTGAAGGCTGTCAGCATCCTGTCTTGTCTTTTCAATAAGAGCAGCCTCTTTGGAACCCAGAGCTCCTTCACTTTAATGTTGGCGTATGTTGGCTAGAAATTATGAAATGTAACAGTACAGGATAAAACAGAAAAACGGCATTGTCTGTCTTTTGCTACGGCAGAAATTGAAGCACACAGACTATAATAAAAAACTTGTTTGTATAAGTTTACATTTCAGTTCATATTGTGTGTTTATGGTCTCTGCTGCTCCAGTACAATCAGAATCAGAATCAGAATCATTTTTATTGCCAACGTAAGTAACGGGAGGTCACAGACTTGGAAATTGCTTTGGCTCAGTGCAACAGTCAAAAAGAGATAATAAAAATAAGAATAAAAAACACTTCTAAAGAATAAATTTAAATTTAAAATAGAGTTACAGTTACTATTTACAATATACAAGTGCAAATGGTGCACACAATGTAAGGTGACAGCAGTACAGTGAAGTAAAGTGACGTATGATGGGCAGTAAAGTGACTTTATAAAGGGCGGGGGGACAGGTTAAGAAGTGTTCAAGAGTCCAACAACAGAGGGGAAGAAACTGTTCTTGTGGCGGGAGGTTCTAGTCCTGATGGACCGCAGCCTCCTGCCTGAGGGGAGTGGTTGGAATAGTCCATGTGCAGGGTGAGAGGGGTCGGCTGTGATACGACCAGCCCGGCCTCGAGCTCGGGCGACGTACAGGTCCTGCAGCGATGGAAGGCTGCGGCCGATCACTTCCTCTGCAGAGCGCACAATGCGCTGTAGTCTCTGTTTGTCCCTGACTGTGGCTCCAGCGAACCACACGGTGACGGAGGACGTGAGGATGGACTCGATGATGGCCGTGTAGAACTGCACCAACATCTGTGCAGGCAGCTTGGCTTTCCTGAGCTGCCGCAGGAAGTACATCCTCTGCTGGGCCTTCTTGATGAGGGAGCTGATGGTCGGCTCCCACTTGAGGTCCTGGGTGATGGTGGTGCCCAGGAAACGGAAGGACTCCACAGAGGTGATGGGGGAGTCCATCACGGAGGGTGGGGGCGGGGGGACAGTGCTCTTCCTGAAGTCCACAATCATCTCCACTGTCTTCTGGGCGTTCAGCTCCAGGTTGTTACCACTGCACCAGGACACCAGCCGGTCCACCTCCCTCCTGTAGGCGGACTCATCGTTGTTGGAGATGAGTCCAATGAGGGTGGTGTCGTCCGCGAACTTGATCAGCTTCACGGAGTCGTGGCTGGAGGTGCAGTGGTTGGTGTACAGGGAGAAGAGCAGGGGAGAAAGAACACAGCCCTGTGGGGCTCCTGTATTTATAATCCGAGAGTCCGAGACATTCTTCCCCAGACGCACTCGCTGCTTCCTGTCCGTCAGGAAGTCAGTGATCCACCTGCAGGTGGAATCGGGCACGTTGAGCTGGGAGAGCTTGTCCTGGAGCAGGGATGGCAGGATTGTGTTGAAGGCAGAGCTGAAGTCCACGAACAGGACCCTGGCGTAGGTCCCCGGGGAGTCCAGGTGCTGTAGGATGTGGTGGAGGGCCAGGTTAATGGCGTCGTCTACAGATCTGTTGGCTCTGTAGGCGAACTGCAGGGGGTCCAGGAGGGGGGAGGTGAGGGACTTGAGATGGGAGAGAACCAGGCGTTCAAATGACTTCATGACGACAGACGTAAGTGCTACAGGTCTGTAGTCATTGAGTCCTGTGATCCTGGGCTTCTTCGGGACGGGGACAATGATGGAGGATTTGAAGCAGGCCGGGACATGGCAGGACTGCAGAGAGGTGTTGAAAATGTCCGTGAACACAGGAGTAAGCTCACTGGCGCAGTGTCTCAGAGTGGCCGGAGACACGTGGTCCGGGCCAGGAGCTTTGCGGGGGTGCAGCCTCAGGAAGAGTTGTTTAATCTCTTTAGCGGCTATTGTTAGGCTGGGGGCAGGGCTGATGGGTGGGTCGTTAGAGTAGTGGGGGGTGGGGGAGGGAGAGGTGTCAGGGGCAGCATCAAAGCGACTGAAAAATAAGTTCAGATCGTCAGCTAGCTTGTGGTCATCAGCACAGGGGGGGGCTTTGGGTTTGTAGTTGGTGATCTCCCGTAGGCCCCTCCAGACAGAAGCAGTATCGTTGTTACCAAACTGCTCCTGTAGTCGTTCTCTGTGCCGGGACTTGGCTGCTTTCAGTTCTTTCCTGAACTGATATTTAGCTGCTTTGTAGCCGCTGCGGTCCCCCTCCCTGAAAGCAGACTCCTTTGCTTTCCTGAGCTGCCGGAGTTTAGCAGTGAACCAGGGTTTGTCGTTGTTATAGATGACCCTGGTCCTTGTTGGAATGATGCTATCCTCACAGAAGTGAATGTATGACGTCACAGTGTCCGTATATTCATCCAAACTATCTGTGGCAGCTCTGAAGAGGTCCCAGTCTGTAGATTCCATGCATGCGCGCAGCTCTTCCACAGCTTCATCAGACCACACTTTGGAGCTCCTCACTGCAGGTTTCGAGAGCTTTAGTCTCTGTCTGTAAGCAGGAACCAGATGTATCATGGAGTGATCTGAGAAGCCGAGGGCTGGCTTGGGAACAGCGCGAAAAGCTCCGCGCACGGCGGTGTAACAGTGATCCAGAGTGTTCTCCTCTCTGGTCGGGCATTTGATAAACTGTCTGTATTTGGGTAATTCCTGGCTCAAGTTTCCCTTATTAAAATCCCCCAGGATAATAATCAGAGAGTCCGGGTATAAGCGTTCCATACACAGTACTTGCTCTGCGAGTGCGCGCTGAGCCTCGCGCGCGTCCGCGCATGGCGGTATGTAAACAGAGGCAAGAATGAATGAAACAATTTCCCGCGGGGAGTAATATGGTTTACAATGAATGAAAAGATATTCCAGAGCAGGAGAGCAGTGCTTGGAGATCACTGTCACATCGTTACACCAGTTTGTATTGACGTAGAAACACAGCCCTCCGCCTCTGCTCTTCCCTGAGAGCGCACAATGGCGATCCGCGCGGAACAGCCCAAAACCCTGCAGCTCCAGAGCGCAGTCCGGGATCCGCTCATTTAGCCAGGTCTCAGTGAAGCAGAGGACACAGGATGTGGCGAAGTCCTTGTTTCTTCTCATGAGCAGGCTGAGTTCGTCCATCTTATTGCCCAGTGAGCGTACGTTGGAGAGAAAAATGCCGGGGAGAGCCGTGCGCGCTCCTCTCCTCCTAAGACGCACGAGCAGGCCTCCTCGCTTTCCCCTTTTACGGGCCCACACTTTTTTGGCTAGAACATGAACTAAATCAGCCGCAGATGCCAAGAAAACAGGCAATAGGTCCATGGGAACGGTGGGTCACAATATACACATCTGTAAATACCTCCTGCTGACCACAGTCTCCATGGTGCAATTATAGCTCCAGAGTTTTAGTTTTATGATAGATTATCTTAAGTAATAGTTTCTGTTGATGTGTGCAAACGGATCATTTCATCTTTTCTTATATTCTGCTGTAATGTGCACAGCGATGACATTGAAATTATCTCATGCACATTGTAGTTCTTACATTTCACATTCATTTTGGACATGACAAACATGATGACGAGACTTTTTATGTTGTAATTTCATGTTTTAGGAATGTGAAATAACATGTTAAGTGTAAAAATATTGTTAATCCAATATGATGGGTGAAAAAGCAAAATGCCTGCCCTACCCCTATGCTACCACCAGAGGGAGGTTGAATTGTTTTTTTTGGGGGTTTTGGGATTGTAATTTCAGCAGAGAATTTGCCAAAACTAATTGATGGGTAATTTTACAACTCTTACAACTTTTGTTGTAAGAGAAAGAAAACTGTGTGATGTCATAATGATACAATGAAATCATACTATTACCGGACTGAGACAGGAGCTTTTAGACAGAAGGGGCGGAGTTACATGTTTGTGCCTGAAGTTCCTCATATTAGTGCTGATGATGGATTGATCATTTTGCATGTCTACTTTAAAGTCATTTTCAGACTAAGTAGGAATAGGGGCTGGGACTATATACTGTTTGACCAACTGCATGTACTACAAAGCAAAATGAGTATGAGTATTTAAAAATAGTACTCACCTTGGCCAATCAGGAAGCAGGGAGGGTTGTCATGGGCGGGTCTAACCATGTCTGCATTTGGAAAGTCTAATCAATTTTAAAGGTCTATAGGTGGATTTTCTTCTTCTAACTGGATCGTCTAAACTATTGGTCCTCCTAATTGTCAATCATTCTGGTGATACATATTAGTAAGTGTTTCTTCTGGAGAGGGCGATTCTTTCCTAAAATTCGGGAACATCCTCCTATATACCGTACCTTTTAAGTATATAACTATTAAAGAAGCTGAGAATCGTCTCTGACATTTGTTTAAAAAGTAAACATTTCATTTACTCTTATTGATAGACTATTTTATGAATGTTACACCGCTTTTTAAATCATTATATCACAATCGACATTTTCATTGTGATTTATTTCTTTCAAATACCTAAAAACAGACGTTTTGTAACTGCACGAGTAAAGGTTCAACCGTATCACTGCACCTAGTGATCCCTGCGAGGCATTGTTCAATCATAACTTCAAACCAAATTAATCTTTTGAAACTATTTTCCTCTCATCCAATCTCTGCCATCTGTCACGGATTCTGACGCCGCGTCCCGGTCGACGAGTGCCAGCCCGTTTCTTCCTTTTGTATTCACCACATACTGGAAGCAATTCACACGGAGAGCCCTACCGCCGGTGATAAAGAGTCCCTGAAATTAATGAAATTCTCTGACCTTTCGCCATCATTACTGCGGAGCTGACAGCGCTGTAGCATTTCGTTATGCTAACCCCAATATGACTGTGCTTATAGCGTCAGGCCCTTCACTGTCACTGCAGAGGGCTGTTGACTGGAGTTTGCCATTGTCTCCGGGCAGCGCGATGATGGAGGGCTCGGAACAAGTACAATTAAGAGAAAGGACACGACGTTATAGGTGTTAAGTTAAGAATACTCATGCTGATAATAAATTACGCTGCTTCATTAGCATTGGACGCAGATTTAAGTAGTTTGGAAAAGGACAGGAAATGGCTGCTGATCCTGAACAATATCCCATTAGTGTTTTTATTGTCAAAGTACAGTATTTTGAAAAGTGTATGAGTTGATTGATGTTGTCATTGCCAGCAGAGAGAGCAATGTATTTAGGTTTAGAGCATCAACACGGTATAGATTGTGCAAAGGGCCACATGTGCCTAAAACCCCAGAATCCCCTTGAATACCCCAGAACAAACATTTAGGCGATTTTGTCATCTGTGCAACACTGAAACAGATTCATGGAGGAAGTGACAGGGTGCAACAATGAAAAGTTCATTTGAGAGCTGTTGTTTGGGGATGTGATTATTGGTAAGACAGCAGAGAGGGGAGGGTATTTACCTGAGGCTGTAATTGTCTGGGTTTGATCAATCCTTACATTTGCGCTGTAATTTTCAGCTTTGAAGTCAGCAAACTTGTTTCTTGCATTAAACCATTTCATTGAATTTAAATCATACTTTACTGTGCGTATAGGGGAATTTGTCCTCTGCATTTGACCCATAATGCAATGCGACAAGGATCTTTGCCAGGAGCAGGGGTCGCCAAAGTACAGCGCCCTGGACCCACCTCTGGATGTCGATGATCGGCTTGGTCAGGACTAGACTAGGACTCTAGGACTATCGTACATGATTTTAGTGGTAGCAGAAAACGGAGCACCTGGAGGAAACCTACGCAGACACAAGGAGAACATGCAAATTCAAGACAGAGAGGCCCTGTCTGGAGGTGGAATTGAACCGTGGACCTAGATTAGAACTAGCTATCAAACAAAAGCACTGGATGTTACTGAAATGCGTCAACATGATTTTTAAGCAATAGGGACCAACTCAGATTTTAGTTTTTAGTTTTTTTTTTGCCTTTTTTATTACTTTCTCCACTATTTTCCTTTTCAAACGCATGTATTGCAGAATGTATTGATGGATATGTCTACTATCCAAAACGGTAAATCACCAAAACATCACATTTTAATCATTGCATTTTGTTATTTCTTCTTCTACATTGGTCAAAAGAAAGAAAAAGAGTTTAAAAAAAAGAAGAAAACTTCCATTAACACTCTGTGGATAAACCTGTGTCTTTTTGGCCCCAATCTTGTGCTCCTTTATCACTCTTATTACCTTCTGTATGTCTTTTCTTACAGGAACGTGAACTTAGCATGAACTAAATTAGCCTCTTAGACGTAACCTTTCAGGAAGTCATTCTGAATTTCAACGTTTCGGCCGCACGTTGGACGATAAATTCCCCGAGAGCGTGTGCATCTGTGTTTGTGTGCATGGCGTGTTCACTGTCTCACTCTCCCACAGCTCACCTTGACCCCGGCGGCCTGACGGTGTTGCTCATTTCCTACTCTGGTGAACGTTGACCTCCGCACATATGTACTCAAGCGGCACGCCAAGAAACACGCTATTTAACCATCTGACCAAGGAACAATGTCGCCCTGAAAACATTCCACTTTACCAACAATATGAACTCTTCCACCTTCTGCTTCTGAAAAGGCAGTGGTTGTCGATAAGGGCATTGACGGCATTGACGCAAAAGAGGAATGCATCTGGTCGAAAAGCTAAACTGGGTAAAAGGCATGCTGGGATATTCGGTGGAGGAAAGTGCAGGCTGTATTTCATCCCCCGTGATTGTGTTTTTAAATGATGGTGTGATTGTGTGAGATGATGCTTCAGGAGTTATTGTCAGATGTGAAAAATCTTGAGGACTAAACAAGCTTTACTCTTACTTTGATTTTCAAATATTTTGGACGACTGGCTCAGTTGGCATTGGTCTCTGGGCCTGAAGGTCGTGGGGTCGCGCCCGCCACGAGACCTACTTCCTGACTCCCACTGATGTCTGCTGTCGTTGTGTGCTTTGGAAAGACACTTAACCTCACTTTGCCTGAAGCCCTTGCTGAAAAATTAACGCTCCTGTGGACTCACCACTTGCTGGAGGATCAGCGAGAGGCTGGTGCTGGTCTGAGGTCTAAATACAGACCCTGGAATTCACAAAAAGATCATGTTGCGTCGACCAGCATCTTCCAGGAGCAAAAACATGGACATAAATCACATACAACGTGACAAATGCGGAAGCTAAGGGCGTTTCAAGATGGTTACCCCAAAATGACATTCGGAGATGGATATATTAGCTTAGGCAGGGCCCTGGTGTTTGTAAAGATTTTATATAAGGAGCTTCTGAAACAATGTCGGACAGGAGATCTTCTGCATTGTCCAAGCATGATGTCTGTATCCATGTCTTCATACAACATAAACCAATTCTACCAAGTATCCAGTCTGGTATTCCTTGTTTCATTGACTATTTGACTTTGGTACTCTGTCCATCTTACATCTTGCAGGCCAACCACTTATGAGCAGTTTGGGACTAGGTCAGGACCATGACTTCAGTTACTATTTTATATATCTAGTAAATTGTTTTTGAGTTATCCAGCCAAATAATATTGTAAAGGGCTTAGTTTAGAGGCTGGCGTTCTATTACCATTCAGGTAGCTTGATCAGGGCTTCGTTTGGTGTCTGTGGCGCCTCCTGGAGGTTGTCGTGGGAGGTGACGGCTTAGCGACATCACAAAAGACCTGGAGCATCCTCACACGGGTCTGAGTTATAGCTGGAAGCAGTTCTAGCCGTATACATCTTTTTAACAATTAAAACATTGACAAAGACGACACTAATACAATACAAATCAACCAAGGTCTTCAAGCCAATTTGCAGACCCGAGTATCTGAAGGTCCAGTTTCTTATTGATGAGACTAGGTTTGACTTGAGATATTCCCTATACTGCTGTTGTATCCTTGGGCAAGACTTCTCACCCATCTGCGTGCTTGTGGTGTGTGGAGACTGATTATTTTCCTTCAGATCTTGGTTACATTTATCATTATGAAATTGGATGTTCGCGCTATTACTCAGACAGTTTGCTACCATGACCAAAACCCTATGGTCTTCCCAAAACCCTATGGTCTTTTGAAATATATGTTTTTTCATCATAATTTGATCATTTATCCTATTTCGCGGACACAAACCATACCAACTCATCTAGTGTCAATTACGACAAGTAGAGTTCTATCCCTCACGGCTTCAACCACGCTTACCCGCTCAATCTGTTCAAACTCTGAATAATTTTGAGATAAGACATTTGGCAAGACTAGGCAGATGTGTGATCATTAAAAGGTGTAATAGTCTAAAGTGCTACCCATTATGCGGTTTTCCTGAGTATTCCATGTTGTGCAGCTACGTCTATTCTTCTTTAATCAGTGTATTTACCCTCTTCTTCAGTCTCCATTGTTACATCTCTCTCTCGCTCTGTGTGTAATTAGGAGAACCTGCTCTGTCCAAGGACGTTTGACGATTAAGACGTATTTTTGTCGTTTTGGGAACATTACAGCGTATTTCTACCTTGTTAGAGTAGAAACCATATCCGATAAATTAGCCCCACAGATGTTGCATTCGTCAGAAATGGAAATCAGGGGTGGGACTAAGATGGCGATTCTCACGTGGTTTTTTCAGAAGGATATGTTTATGTTTATTTAGGGATAATAAATATAGTTTGTCAAGTCCAGTGAAATGTTGTTTTTAAACGTTGATTCGATTGGTTGATTTGATTGGTTGATTTGATCATCTTCTATAGAGTTTTTTTCAATTTGAACAGACCCATAATGGTCTCAAGCTGTTTTACAAATGTGTGTATACAACTGGAATTACGGATGTTCTGTTCAATGAAAATCTCTGATATATTTTTTAACTGTGTTGGTATCAATCTGTCAACAGAATGAGCAAGTTTGCAATGGTAGTAAATGTAAAACTTTAGAAAGATGTTTTCTTATTTTCTTTTCCTACGTTGTTAGGGGTCTCCAACCTGTAGCTCGGCAGCCCCCAGTAGCTCGCCACCCCCTTCCAGGTAGCTCGCCATAGGATTTAGAAATGAACAAATCAAATAATATACTAATATTTCACATTGTATTATTCATAATCATTATTTATTATTGTAAATGCACTATTAACACATATGCAATGATAAATAATAACTGTACCCGATATCAGGCTCGTTCACACCAATATATCACTAATTTTTTTCCCCAGGGCTGCCTAAAGAAGTAGCTTTCTGCCTTTATCGTCCCGGGAAAGTAGCTCTCCGGGTGAAAATGGTTGGAGACACCAGTCCTGTGTTATCTGTAGATTGTTGAACATGCAGGTCACTTTTATACATTGGGTTTCTATCTGTTTGATTTGCTTGCGGCTCAGGCCTTTTTAATGATACTTTTCACTGACAAAAATGCTTTTCGGGGTTGAATGAATGGTGTTTACACATGTGTCGATGGGCTTACGTCTGACTTAAGCATGGCGCAGTCATTTTGAAAACAAATTAACCCTTTTTGATTATCCAATTTTTTATTCAAGCGATGTGGTATATCTCGACCTGAGCGATCCATTCAAGTGACAAATGAAATGATGATGGCATTGTTTTATTGTATTGTTGCTGTCGTGAGGAACACTGGGACTTGATTCATGCCATATTTGACCGTTGCGAGGACTGAGGTTTGTGTGGGAATGAGTTCTCTGAAGCATTCTCAGAACAAACAATAAAACAGAGGCACAGACAGTTAATAAGTCACTTAATTCCAGCGGATAAGAACAAAGGTATTAAGCATGCCCATTATTATAGCTCCTTCCTCCCCCTCTTCCTTCCCCGTCTCCTTTCCTATAGGGCTAAAGGGGTGAGTTAAGGTTTCTCTGCCCTGGTTTCATCGTCAGAGGGAACATTCAGTATTCATTTTTTAGACAATCATGTGTCCACGGAAGAGAGGAACATAGTCTTTGATTTTTTACTCCCACTCAGGAAGTACAGTGATCTCTGGCGTTTGTCTGTTTATGCGTCTGCGAGCAATCTAACCAACAACGTCATGAGGGTATTTGGACAAAACTGACCCAGTGAACAACTGATTCTGGTGTGAACGTGGACCAAATCACTGTCTGGATGCAGGATGTATTTTAATGAATGGGATTGTGAGGAATCTGCTCTCGACGAGTGCTTTTCTAGTTTATAAAAGAATGACTGACAACTGCCTGATCTAATGTTTGTTCTGCTGTAATTCTGGCTCTCAAGATAAGATCACAGGACCATTTAAAAAAACTGATCGTGCTAGAATTGAACTCTAACAGTAGGCTTCTAAATATTTTCCAAATATTAATTATTTTAAAACTTTGGCCAATAGTAGTACAGCGCCCGGGAACCCATCTCCAGATCTTGATGCTCGGCTTGGTCAGGACTACCGTAGCTGGGGGATTTAACCTAGTTAGCATGTTTTTAGTGGTCGGGGAAACCGGAGTACCCGAAGGAAACCTACACAAGCACGGGGAGAACATGCAAACTCCAGTCAGAAAGACCCCGTTCCGACCGGGATTCGTACCCAGGACCTTCTTGCTGAGAGGCGAGAGTGCTGTCCATTCAGCCACTGTGGCGCCATTTTAGTTGAAAGTGAAATCTTCATTAAATCAGAGTCATAAGTAAAGTCACAAATATTCTCATGTATTCAAATCTAAACTACAGTAAAATTGTCAGTGACTTTTATGGTCCACAGTTTTCTAAATAGTCCATTGCAGAATAAATCACGTTATGACTTGCACCTTTTCTCTCTTGTGCGGGCCTCTTCTGCGGTTGTTTATCAAAATAAAATCCACATGATTCTTTCCTCTTTGCTTTCAAGGACTTCCTGACCAGACTAGTTATCAGCCTCGTATCAAAATTGGATCGCTGGATTGCTCAGTGCTCAGAGTAAAATAAGTGGTTTATTCTCTTGATATTTCAGCAAAACATGTTATTTGAAAATTGTTTTGATAATGATCATATTAGGGGGAAAATATGATCAAGAAATATTCTAACCATGACATTTTACAGAGCAGCAATAACACAGTTGTTTCCACTGCTTTTAAAGGTGAATATCACAACTGTTTTTCATGTGGTCTTCTGTCTGTTTTGTTGTCATGGCGATGCTTTTCTTGGAATATCTCGCAGTGAGATAGACATCTGAACATAAATAAGATGACACGTTCCTGAAAAATATAGAAGTTTTTATGTTTATCAGAATCAAGAGGAAGACCCTATATACACACCAAAGAGTTATATAATACAGAAAAGTTTGAAATGGGTTTAAAATTGTATATTCAACTTTAAAGTGAATGGATAGACATCAGACAGACTTCTGTTTCTTCTAGCCTGCTCTAACCATACCATTGTACATATTTCATTTTGTAAACAGGTTAATTTTGTTAGCAGGTGGGAGGGGTTAACTCCTTTTGCAGATTGAAACGATTGGATCTGAATTTGTCGTGACGTATATGCGCCAGAGT